CCGCGTTTATCCTTCTTTCTCGGTGATCTCGGTGGCGACAACCCGGGCGCGGAGGAGGGGGTTGCGCTGGCCGACTGCATTAACATGTCCACCATTTCCGGGGACACCGCCGGCGCGCCGTCGCCGGAGCCGCTCAAGTCGCCGCCGCCGCCGCCGCCGCCGCCGCCGTGGGGTTTGCCCAGGGCTGAGCGCCAGTCGCTGCGGCCGGTTGCTGCTCGACGCCGGCCCCTGCACGGGCGCAGTTTTCCACCACCCAAAACATATACATACACACATACGCACACACCACAGCAACGAAGGGTGAAGGCGCATTCGATGTTTTGTTCCAGAGCTGGCGAGCTAAGGGTCTTCGGCACCTTTAAGCCTTGCTTGCATGGCCCAACGCCTACTCCTATGCTCCACACAGAGGACCACCGCCACCAGGTAACAACCAATGATATTGATTAATTAATTAATTAAATTAATCAAGGAAGCAAATTTACAAATTTAAACAACCAATCAAGTTAATTTACTAACTTTAAATAATCAATCAAGAAAGTTAATTTATCGAACTAATTTATTGCTACCTGGTGGCGTGGTACTGTGCTCCGGGTTGTTATGCTTTTGGTTGTGTTGCTTGGTGTGTGTGTGTGTGGGGGGGGGTTATGATTGTGTGTGTGGGGTTATGGGTGTGTTGGGGGGGGGGGGAGGTCATGCTCGTACTGGCGAAGGTGTGCATCCGACGATCCGACGAAGCGATGAATGGACGGACGGACGGACACATATGTTTTGGGGGCATTTTCCATACATAATTTTCTGACTTCATACACACCGCCCTTCACACATTTCCCCCCTCCCCCCGCCTTTCCCTCTTTTCCGAGCCCTTCCCCCGCCCTCCCCTGCCGTACATCTCCAGGTCCTCCAAGCTAGGAAGCTCCACACCCGCCTCTTGAAGCATGTTGACCAACTGCACCGGACAAAACGAGTACGGCAGCAAGCTCTAAGTACGACATGACGGGTACGACATGGAGATGCCTGTGGAGGGGAGACAGAAAAGCATTGTGATGCAGCACACAGACCGCCATTGCCGCTATAGCTATGATGACTGTGCCGGGCGTCTGAGGGGCCCCTGCGACCTGCCCCACCTCTCCTCTCCGCCAGGACCTCATCCATCCCACCGGGTGTGTGGAGGCTGGCAGCCATCAAGCTGCCTAAATAAGCACATCATCGCATGGGCGCCGCAGACCCTTCACCTTGCGTGGCCTCGCGTTTACTGTCTCGTCTAGAAGTCGACATCTTGCCCCCCCTTTCCGCTTCCTCCGCCACCTCCCCCTTCCCCTCCGTCCCGAAGATGTCGCCTCCGCAAACATCATGTCACCGGTCTCTGTCTGCAAACAGCACCCTGTTTTGCATGCCTTCCGCTCCTTGCCCTCCTTCTCCCCCTCCCCGACGTCCCCCCTCTCCCACGTCCCCACGTCCTCGCCACGCGCAGGAAACCCAGGAAACGCCCCATTATCTCCCGGCCCCTTCCGTCCATCGCCTTTACGGAAATTCTCCTTCAATGCTCCCAAACCCTAAGTTGACCCTGACCTGAGTGGAAAAAACTATTTCGCACTAGGCTCGTGCTCGTGGGTTGACAGCCTGCTGTACCGGTTTTGGAACCGGTTTTGGATCGCGGCAGTTTAATTTTGGGAAATCCCCTGGCCTCCATTTTCAAAAGGATGTGTCGTCCATCGTCCGGCCCTGCCCCATCTTGCGGCTCGTCCCTTCTCCAACTTCCCAGCCAACTACGACCCAACACCCAACCCACCGTTTCCGACTGCAAAAGTCGGCGTGTGGCATCCGCCACTTGGGCTTGGCGCTGTTGCAGCGCATTGTGCGTGCGCAGGGCGCCCAAATCGGTGGTGCTGCCCAGAAGCGACACGGCGGAGTGGGGCGCCACGTTACGGCTGTTCTGGTGGCTGGACATCGGATCAAGATATGACCCTTACTGCCTCCTGCAGCTCCCTTTGTGATTTGGGGCTTCATGACCTGGCCCTCGCTGTCCAGCTCCAGCGCTCCGCTGTCCAGCCCATCGCCCTTAGCGGTTACTAGTACGCTTTGAGGCGGCAATATGGAGATGGATTTCTCCTATTTAACAAGATAGCTTCGCTAGGGTTTAAAATCTGGGTTTTCGGAGTTTGCAAGGTGCGCCGGTTGTCACTTCGAGGAATTGGGGCGTCCTGTGAACTCACGTTACTGGTTCTGTAGCAATTAGCTTAGATAAGCTCAATGGTGCATATCGATTCTTAGAGTAAGTAGATTGACAAACCTACCTAATTGCTGGTTTGTTGCCCCTTTGCGGCAATTCAGTAACCCTTACCAGTACTTAGTACATAAGGCGACCGGGAATTTCATTGAGTGCACAAATAGTCATATGCTTCGCACTCAGGAAAAAAACACTATCCGTACCCTTTTCCGTCGGTACTACACTGCACAGGGACGCGTTCCTCACTTGTGTTGCTAAGCGGCTAACGTAGAACGAAAATTTGGATGCCAGTTTCCTTTATGGAGCACTTTTTCCGGCCATGAGCTGCGCAAGTCCGCCGTTGACCGGTCAGTGTCAGGTGACCTCGTTCATATAACTTTTGGTTTAGAGGACAGTAGCCTGCTGCTTCTTAATTATCTGGCTGCACGATCGGTGAAGTATAAGACCTCCTTTGCCTAACTAAATGCACCGACACCATGGCGACGACGTGGCCCGGGGCTCATTTAGCTTTGACAGAGGAAACCAGACTATTAAGGATAGCAGCAGCGGCAACAACGGAGGGGCGCCTGCAGATCCTCGAACAGCGGAGCAGCTAATGAAGCTGCACAGGTCATTTACGATGCGTGCTCTCGCAGACATGAAATGTATAACGCTAATATTCACAATAGAGCTGCCAGCGCTTTAAATAATAACACAACCTCCTTGCGCTCGGTCGGCAGAGCAAAGCCTTGACCTTGTGCTACTGCCTCGGACCTCCACCGCTTCGAGACACCGATATACATCTCCATGTATAGATACCATGTAAAAATTAAATTTATGCAGGAACAAATGCTCCAAATTCTCAACCCCTTGCCTCTAACGAGCATTGGCGACATCGGAACTAATTCGGCAGGCTCGTGGAGTCGCTGGTTGTCCGAGAGCTTGAGCGAGGCGAGCCGTCCGGAGATGCCCCAAGTCGCTCTCAAAGCAGGCAAATGCATCAACCCCCGCCGCATACACGCAGCTCAGCAACCCATGCCGGACAGAGCGGCGGCGGCAGCCGCGGCGGTGGTAGTGGCGGCGGCAGCCGCGGCGGCAGCGCGGGCGGTGGCGGCAGCCTGGCCAGCCTCGGCAGCCGACAAACTCGCAGCAAACCCTACCAAAACCACCTCCCTTCCTTTTCCGACTCAATTCCATCTTTGGACACCAGCCTGCCGTACAGCTCCCTCGGTGGGGCCGACGCCGCGCTGTATACCTCCGCGGAGGCTCACGAATTGGGCATGGATAGCGGCGGGGGCCACCTGTACGGCACCACAGGTGCCCCTGGACCAGGCCGACCCACGGGTCATCATCCATCAGCGCCGGGGCCTGCCCGTTCCGGCGGCCGGGGCTCCTCTGTTGGCGGGCAAGATGAGGAGGGAGGCGGTATCCGGCTACAGATCCTAGCACTCCAGGTGGGCCCTATGTACTCCTCTCTTCTTTCCGTACACTCCTCCGTGCAGTCCGTCATCTTTAAATGTGTCACTTCCTTTGCCTCCTGTGCCGGACTGACTCCGGCTCCTTTCTTCTCTTCCACACACCCCCATGATTGCGTACTGCGTATATAGTTCCACTCCCATTTCATCATCACCACCATTGTCATCACCATCATTTTCACCATTTCCACCACCACCACCACCATTGACATCATCATCATCATCGCCATCGTCACAGCAGCTCCTCTTGCCCCACAGGATCAGCTGTCTCTCCTGGGCGAGCAGGTCAACGCAGCCTACCGGGCGGCGGACGCCGTGGAAGCGGCGCCGGGCGGGGGAGGCGGCGGTGCTGGTGGGGCCCCCGGCAGCCGCATACCCGGCAGTGGCTTCCCCCGGGCTCACGGCCATCAGATCCAGCAATCGCAGCTGCTTCAATTTGGCCCACGGCCCCATGAGTCATCCGGCTCCGTCGACATGGCGGCGGCGGCGGCGGCCGTGTCAGGACCGGGCGGGCCGGTGGGTGTCAAACCGTAGCCCGGGGGTGGGGAGGGGGAGGTCAGGTGGAAAACCCATGGGGGGGGGAAGGCGCCCGTTGGGGGTGGGGAAGCGCGGCTCAGCCCCCGGGGGACAGCCGTGGGCAAGGAAAAGACCGGGAGGGGGGTGAGGGAGGGGGAGGACGTGGGCGGTAGCAGTGGCATGATGAGGAGCTGGCAGGCTGGGGGGTTTCGGAGCGGCACGGCGGGCCACCCAAGAACAACCAAAGCAACTAAAACTAACCCTAAGTCGACCTAATCAACGACCCGATCCCAATGATTACTGTCGGCTACCCCCCTTCCGAACACATACCTCCACACAAACACCGTTGCCGTACATCACCACCACCTCCCAGTTCCGTTCCGTAAGTCCGGCGGCGGCGGCGGCGGCTACAGCGGCGTTAGCTTCTCAGCGACAGCAACAGCACCAGAATCCCCACCACCAGCAATATCCAGGCTTGAGCACGGGTAAGGTATCCGCCGTACTCTGCCGTACATAATTAACACCGCACATGTTGGGGGAGTGTGCATTCTTTGGTGTCATGAGGGGGGGGATGGCGAGGTAAAGGGACGAAATGAAGGGGGACGCTGCGTGAGGGGCCCGTGGGGGAAATGGTGCTGCTGTGTTGTGGGGGGGGCCGGGGTCCAGGAAAAACACACACACAGGAAGCCGAATGCTGTTACTTCCCCTCCCTTGTAGTGACGGTGGTGGGGTGGAGTGGAGTGTGGGGTCGGGAGGAAAGATGGAGAAGCACACCCGGCTTGCTAGCGGCGGAGTTTAAGAGATGTCGGTATCGTGACTGTGACGGCTATAAGGGGATGGAGAGAAGGAGGGGATCCGGGAAGGGGCTGTTGTGGGCTGTTGGCTCTCTTGTGTCGTTAGAGGAAATCCTCAGAAATACTAAGAAAGGGAAAATTAGGTTGGGTTTGCGCTGCCGTACGTCACACCGTTGGTTCTAACCAACAGATGGACAGACGAAGCACAAGGGATGTGTTCGTTGATTCACGCTATACCCATATACACCCTCCCCTTCAACCTGCCCCTGGCCCACGCAGGCTCACCCTCCCGCCACTCCCCGCCACATCCAAACCTCCAACCCTCCGCCTACTCCAACGCGTCATCATCCTTTCGCGGGGTTGGCCTTGGCGGCGGTGGCAGTGGCGGCGACTTTCTGGCCACAGCCGCCGCTGCCCAAGGCGGCGGCGGGGGCTTCGGCCCTAACGGCGGCTCCGCCATGCCGAGCTCAGCCCATGGCGCCGCCGCCATCGCCGCTGGCATGGTCGGCGGCGGCAGTAGCAGCTTCGGGCTGCTGCCGCCAACCGCTACAGCCACCACCACTGCCACCTTTATCAGCGGCGGCTCCTCCCGGCCACATTCCCGTCATGCAATGATGGCGGAACGGGAGGCGAGTGTACGGGAGGACGAGCGGCTTCGGAGCTGGATCCAGGAGTTACGGGCGGAGCGGCGGCGGCTGGAGGACCGGTTACTGGAAAGTGACCCGTCGGGGTCGACTGGTACGGCAGCGGCGGCGGCGGCTCAACAGACACGGGACGAGCTTGAGCGGCAGGTAGGTCATGAAGGGATTGAGTTTTTGTTGAGGAGTTGGGTTTTAGGGGGTTAGGGGGTTAGGTAGGCCACCCTCCCCCCGACACACACACACACACATACCTCGGCAACTGCTTCTCCGTTTCGAAAACTAAGTGCCTCCATTGCCGCGATGACTAAAAAAAGCAAGTTACAAACTAAGGTTCAGTATCTTACTTCTTCTCCTACAGTATTGGTCTTATCTTGGTCTTATACCCGTCTGTTTTTTTCCTCCTCGTCAATCGTCTGTGCTTCGTCATCATCCCCTCTACCCCCTAGGGGTACCTGGGGTGCCAGCGGTTGATCTCCTGCTTCTTGTTTGTGATCTCCTCTCTCCACGCGCATGTTCGCACTCCCACATGGGGAATAGGAATTCCACTGTGCGTCGAATGTCGTACACGTCGTACATGTCGTACAATACAGGCATGGTGTATGTGGTTACATGGGTGCATACATGTGTGTGTATGTATGTATCGCAACTCACGTCATGTAGTGTACGTCACGTTACGTGACATGTTTGGGCATTTTTGATGTCGTACCATGCCGTACACGTCAGGTTCTGGCACTTTCCCGCCAACGCGATCAGCTGGTTTCGGAGCTTGACGATATGGGGGTCACTCAGGCGACCAACATGCAGCTGGCGGGGCAGGTGAGGGGCTGGAGGGGGCCTTATGGAGAGGGGAGACGAGGGGGAAGAGCTGAAAAGATAGAGGAGGTTCGCGAAGGGGGCGGGAGCGTGTGTGTATTGACATTCCATTGAGCCTGCGAGCTGGCGTACTAGAGGAATACGGGCGAATGTGGCGATTGCGTGGGATTGCGTGGCTGCATTTTCTCGTGAGGCCCCTCGCGATTTTAACACTCTTGCCCCGTGGACATGATTCGCCCCCCAACATCCTCCTCCAAAGAACCCTAAACCCTTCCCCCTCCAGCCCGGCCATTACTCTCTCCCCTTCGCACCAATCCCCCCTTCATCGGGCCCTAGGTAGAAGCGCTGCATGCGGCACTTGCAGCGGAGGCGGAGAAAGTTGTACGACTCAAGGAGGTACGGCATGACTGCTGTTTGAACTCTAACTGAACTTTTGGACAATTTAGTACTTATAGCCGCCCCCCTTACCTACACAACCTTCACCTGCCCTCGCCCTTCCTCCCTTTCCTTTCCCCCACCCCGACCCAGGTTCGCCCCGTGCTGGAGGGTAAGTTGGCTGACGTGGCGGCCTCCCTGGAGTCCATGAGGCGCCAACACGCGGCCGCATTGCAGGCGGTGGGGCAGGAGAGGGACGCGGCGGTGGGCAAGGTGGGTAGAAGGGGGGAGAACGGGGAGGGGAGGGTGGAAAGTGTTGCAGGGTGCAAGGAATGAGGGGAGGGGAGGGGAGGGGAGGGGCACAACTGCTTACAGGCCCCCAAAACCTGAAGCATGAACTGCTTGAGTCCCAAGTCTGAGGGGAGAATTGGGGTGGGGGTTGGGGGGTAGGAAGAGAACCCGGCGATGTCCGGGCATGGGCAGGATGCACAGATGTATGTATGTATGTACATATGATGTGTGGGCCAGGGGGTCATATCTCTACCCTGCAGCCGCTGCCCGGCAGACCCTGCTTTCCCCGGAATTTCGGGGCACCCTCATCCAGTCACCCTAGTCAACTTCTCAATAGATCGCTCAGGTTCCGCACCCACCACCGGTATCAAACCACCGGTATCAAACAATCTAATAATGACCTTGGTAAAAGAAGCAAATATGGGCGATAGTGCCCCTCCAGAATATGTAGCTTATTGTAGGTGCACCAGCCGAGAATCGAACTCGGGTCTGGTCCGTGGCAAGGACCTATGCTACCACTATACCACTGGTGCATGTAAAATGTTTTACAGGTTGTAGAGTATATCAGCCATTTGGAATTGGGCCTCCCCGTTTTTCTTTCCCCCCCGGTCCCATCCCCTCCACCCTTCGCAACACCACATTCACCCCGCGCAACACCACACCATGCCACGCCGCCACGCCACCCTTCAGGCCAAGCGCCATGGCAAGCGTGTGTGCGAGTTGGAGGCGGCGCTGGAGGCGGCCCACGGGGAAGTACGGCGACTGCAGGACGAAGTGAGTGCCGGGGAGTTCGAGGGGGAGGAGGGAGAGGAGGAGGGTAAGCGAGGGCAAGGCCCCGCCGTCCCCGTCCCGTTTGCTTTGGACTTCCCCCCCAAATCTGCCACTAACCTTGTGTACGTTTTTTTATTATTTTGCTACTTTCATTTTCTGTTTTATATAAATAATGTCATCTCACGTCTTTTCCCCGTTCTGTTCCTCCCTCCCTTGACCATCATCCACATGTTCAGATCCGGTCTCACGTCATGTCGCTGGCTGAGATGCGGGCCAACGGGGAGGTGCTGCAATCAGCCAGCCAGCAAATGCAGGTAAGAAGGGGGCGCTAATGGTGGTGGGGGTAGCCAAAAAGGGGGGACACCTAACTTACCCCTTACCGTTCCCCCCACTTCCGGGCCCCCTGCCACGCGGCCCCTGTTTTTCTCTCTGACCCCACCTGACCATACCTGACCCCACCTGACAGGCTAATATGGAGGCTCAGGCCAGGGAGACTGCCACACGTCTGGCGGCTGTGCAGGTGAAGTGCGGCGTTTGAGGATTTGGGTGTGGGGGGGAAGGTGTATGTGTGTGTGAGGGGGGTTTGCGTAAGGGATAGGGGGAGGATTGGGAGGTCGATGGACTAAAGAGGTGTCTGTCTGTCTGTGTGTTTATTAGGGTTGTGGGGGTAGCGTTACGAGGTTCGGGGCTTCTCGGGTTCCTACGGCTTCTCGTTCACGCATGTGTGTTCTCAATACACAACTGCTACAAAAACACCACCACCCTCAACAGTCCCAGCTGGAGGCCAGTCAATCCGAATGCGTGATTTTGAGGAAGCAGCTGGAGGCCGCTCAGAGGGAGACTGGGGCGCTCCGAGACCAGGTACGACAAGGGGCGGCGATGCGAGTGTGGGTTGGGGCGGGCTGTAGGGGGTTTAATGGCTCAAGCCAGAAAGGGCAGGATGAGAGGCCCTCACCACCTCGCTCGCATCATCACCTGCTAGTCCCCCCCTTCAAGACATACACATTTTCATGACACACCCCCTTGTATGCATCGTCGTCGTCGTCATTCTCCCCTTCCCTAGTTCCCCAAACCACCCACCCACTACCCACCCACCCCACACACAACACGCAACATACTCTCCGAAACCACCACAATTAGCAGTTCAACGACCTTTAGAACTTTATGCCCTTCCGCCCACCTTCCACCACCGTCGGCCAACACCCCCACATCTGCCCACCGTCCTCCCCCTGCCCCCCGGGGTCCCCTAGCTGCCGAAGATTGCCGGTCTTCCTCCCCCCAACAGCCCACTCCTCCCCACCGCAACACCCCCACCCACCCAACCCAACCCCCACATGCTCACATAACACACAGCTCAAGGACGCGCAGGGGCGCTTAGAGACGGTGTTTTCGGAGCGGTCTCGATTAGCGGGCGCACTGGCGGCGGAACAGCGGTGTACGGCAGCTGTACGGCAACAGGTGGACTCACTAACTGCCCAGGTGGGGGGTAGGGGGGAAAAGGGGAGGAGTGTGGAGAGGCAGCTGTGTCTATGTGTGTATATGTGTGGTTGGGGGCGGTTACCTACGGGAATGGGAGGCGAGGTAGAGAGGCAGGGGTAATGGCGGGGAGGGGAGGGGACACTGCTTATAGGAGGAGAAACAACCCCCAATTTGAAAACATGACCTCAACGATGCTGAGTGCTCAGCGGCCCGAGCGGTTGTTATCTTGAGGTTTCCCCGGAGAGGGGGCTCCGTCCTCCGGGTAGCCGTCTTGCTTCATAAATCTCCTCTGCCCACCTCCGTCCCCCCCACCGCCAACGTGCATTGCTGTTTCCCCCTTTCCCTCGGGCCCGCCCCCTACACCTACCTACCTACACACACATACATACGCACATACACACTGCAGTTGAAGGCGGGCGATGAGGCTCGTGCTGATCTGGCCCGAGCTGCGTCTGCTCAGTTGGAGGCTGTGAAGCGGCAACATGTGGCGGATCTGGCGGCTACACAGAAACAGTGAGGAGGGGGGGTAGAGGGAGGGGAAGACGAACCACGAGCGAGTGAAGGTGATGCCAAGGATAGGCTGATGCGCCAGAAGTAAAGAAGGCATACCTAACCAGTCGGCGATTGTGAAGCAGCAGTCCTCGCGATGATGTAATAGTCATGACGATAGCCGGAAACTACCTACCTAGCCGCCAAGGCGGAGGGAGGGGAGGGAGGGAGGGCAGGGAGGATATGGTGACCAATGCCGGCATGTCCCCTCCTTTCACATTTCTCTGATCCGCGGGGGACGGATCCGCCCGCTTAGCACAGCTCCGGATTTGGGGATCCACTTTGACCGCTTCCCCCTTCTTCCCCCCCTTCCCACACACACGCACTCTCCTCTTTCCCGTCTGTCCTCCCACCCTACCCTTGCCGTTGGCTAGGTACGAATCCCAGTTGGCGGTTTCGGAGAAACAGTACTTGCTGCTACAGCGGCAGTACGACGCAGGGATAGCGGCCAGCAGTCAGGCGACGGAGGCGGCGGCCACGGCGAGGAGGGACCGAGACGCGATGTGGGCGGAGACACAGAACCTAAAAACAGAGGTGCTAGTTGGAAGACCTCCACCACTGAAATACAGACACAATAGCGTTCATGCCTAAATTAGACGCCAGAGAAGGGGAGTTGCGGGAATTGAACCCACGGTCTCTCGCACCCTAAGCGAAAATCATACCACTAGACCAAACTCCCATTTTTATATATTTTGCAGAATCCTATTATTATATGTCACTTTTTGCTCCTGCAGCTGGAGGAGCTCCGTACGGAGCGCAACGACCTCTCGTCCAAGCTCTCCAGTTTGAGAGCGGAGGTTCGCACCACGATGGAAGAGGTGTCCAAGGACAGGTACACGGCGTTGCGTCTGTATGTATGTATATGCCTTCTTGGAGCAGCTTGGAAGAGTAGACCAGCGGCTCAGTCCGCGGGGATCCGGAGCTGGGCCCGGAGCGGCCACTAAGACGACTTTAAGAAAACAGAGAGCAGCGAAGAGCGCTCAGCCTCGCTCACCTTCCATTGATGGTGCCACCGAACCAGATTGCCCCTGACGAGAGCCCTCCCCACTCACCATTTGCCATTTGCCACTCCCGAGGGGACACTGGCTTTGCGCACGTGTTCTCCTTTGCCCGGAGGGAGCGGGTTAGGGGGAAAGAGCGGTTCGAATGAGGCGAAAAGGGGCAGAAGATGAGGTCCGTTAGACAGGTGCATTGTCCAATACCCCGTTCGAATCCCAACCCCGACAAACACACCCCGCCACCTGCACCTTAACCCCTCACCTCCTCCCAGCATCGCCACCATCACCACCACCACAAACAAAAACAAAAACAGCACAAGTACCTACGCCTCTCCACCCAACACCCCATAGGGATTCCAAACTCGCCGCCGCCACCACCCAGCACGAGGCGGCTGTTCGGGAGGTACGAGCCGAGGCGGAGAAGCGTATCACCGCTGTACAGCAGGACTACGAAACCAAATTGGCCAGTGAGTGGTGTCCTGGGTCGGTGGGTCGGTGGACAGCTCTGGGCGGGGCGGGGCTTAGGCCAACCATGCAATGGCTTCAGGGCTTTTACCAAGTCTTTTGGGGCCGATTTAGGGAGGGTGCCGGTGTGTGAGGAAGGCCTGAGCCCACACCTTACACCCTTCCCTCTGTCACAGACCATCACCCCCAACCCCACCCTCATCCCCACCCCCAGAAAAATTACAGCGCCCCCGGGTCTTCTCATGCTCACCGCGCGTGCCCTTGTGTTGCGCTCGTGGGGTTGAAGCCCTATACCCTTTCTTCCCCCTCCCCCTTGCCATCTGTAACCCGTGCCCTCCCTCCCTTTGGCCCTTCACGTCTTCCAGACGTGATGGGCGTTGCTGAGAAGTTGCGCACCGAGGCTCAGGATGCCCAGCGCCAGGCGGAAAAGTACCGGGCTGCCGCGGGACACCTGAAGGAGCAGGTGGTGGCGGGGGGATGAGGGGGCCGACCTACAGAGACCTCAGGGGGAAGGGGGGGGAGGGGGAAAGACGAACCAGGAGCGAGTGAAGCTGATGCCATGGAAATACTGATGCGGCAGATGGTGGAAGGGGGGAAGGGAAGGGAAGGGAAGGGAAGGGAAAGGCGGCAGAGACACCGAATGCCAACAGCGTGAGGTCTTTCCCCCTTTTTCACCTCCCCTCCCCCTACCAGTTAGCAGGACCATGGGCACTACCTACTTCAGGTCTTGTCCTTCCATGGAGGGAACCCCCCTAACCAGGCAACGAGGCTCACTGCTTGTGGCCGCCGTGTTGCCTAGTTAGGCCAGTCATATGACCGCCGCCACTGCCTCACACCTCCAGGGAGGGGGGAAGGGGTTACTCACACGGGGTCATTATATTTTATGTAGGGCCCTAAAACCCTATTTGTGGTAACGTACTGGACCTTGCCTTCCTGGACCACGACTTAGGGTTTATTCATGCAGAGCTACTGAGCACCGCACACACGTAACCTAACACTCACTCCCTCTCCCACACACAGTCACTTCAAGCGTCGGCAGTTGTTTTCTTCACTTGTACATATGTATGTATGTATATATGTATGTATGTATGTGTGTATGTATGTATGTATGTATGTATGTATGTATGTATGTATGTATGTATGTATGTATGTATGTATGTATGTATGTATGTATGTATGTATCTACTGATCCATTCCACCCCCCGCCACCACCACAACTACCCAGGTCCGCGACTTGCTGCTGAGCCGTGACGCCGCAGAACGGGAGCTGTCTTCGGAGCGAGCATTCAACGAGGAGCTCAACCGCATCCTAACCAGCCTCAGGGAGGAGCAGCAACACCAACATCACAACGCGGCCTTGCACCCGCCGCCGCCGCCGCCACAGCAGCCACAGCACCCGCCGCCACCGCAGCAGCAGCAGCAGCAGCATCCGCCGCCGCAAAAGAGGTTAGGGGTGCTGGGGGGCTGGTGACGACAGGTTCAAGTACGGGTACGGGAACTGGTACGACGGGGGTTTCACGGCGGGACTGGCGGGCGATGCCGGGCGATTGAGCGGTATGCCAAGTTGAGAGGGACGGAGGGCGGGAGAGCAATGGAGGGGAGGGGAGGGAACGGAGGAGATTTCTTCCTTCCACGTTCTCTCCGCGTCCATGCGATAGATATATGCACTCTCTCTCGTGTGTGAATGTGTGTTTTTTCGCGCGTGCGCGCGCATGCATGTGTGTGTGTTTGTTTACCGAACTTTACGTTCCGTGGCTTCTCAAAGATTTTAAAATTTTCCGAATTTTTTTATCTGTACGTGCGCGGTATGATAGGTATGCAACATGCGTGCACCCGCGCGCGCCCGGCCTCACCTGCCACTCCTCCAATCTGCGTGGGTATGCCGTCCTAGCTGCAATTGTTGTTGTTGTTGTTTGTGGTGTTGTTGTTGGTGGTGGTGTTGTTGGTGGTGGTGGTGTACGTTTTCCTCCGCGCTGATCGCCCTTCACCGCCACACCTGCTCCATACCGAACCGGTTCATACCATGTCCGGCTTCGTTTGTCGCTTCTTGAAACTTCCAAACAGCCCCAAATCCCCAACCCCACCTACTGCCATCGCGGTGGGGGGAATTGTTTTTACTGCTATGCGCACTGTCTTGTACACAGCTGCGTGAGAAGGCGTAGTAGCGCTATGTGCACCAGAACTACAAAGGACTTCTGTGTGTGCTTTGCCAAGCCATTTAGCCCTAGCGCCAAGAAGCGTCTACATGTACGAGAGGACACCTACATTTGGTGCATCTAACATAGTGTGTTTGTGTGTGGTGTAACCCTAAGTACCTCACCACGCAGCCAGAGAGAGTCGCAGGCGAAAAGGCACTTTGGGAGTTGCTGTTGTCGTGTGCGCGAGAGAAGGGAAGATATCATGCTCTGTTCTGTCTCTCTGTCTAGTTGTGTGCACGCAGCCGCGAGTGCGTGCCCGCCCGCTTGTGTATGTGTGTCTATCCGTATGGATGTATGTATTAACGACCATCTGAGCCGCATGTGTGTATGTATGTATGTATCTCCATGCAGATGCCATCGTGCCAACGCCTTGTCTGTTTTTGTGTATCTGACTTTTGTTCAGAGAGGAAGGATGCCCTGGAGGACGACTCCTCCACCCACCCCATCCTCTCCGCCGGTCTTCCTTCATCTGTAGTTTCTTTCTGACCCTTTCTCCACCGCAACTGACCACCGGGGGTAGGGCGGGACTTAGGATGGCTTTGTTGGAGGAGAGGTGGGTTGCGTTCCTGTGCTTCGTTGTGCGTTCTGGTCGTGCGTGACGTGGACTGGACAGGGCTGTCTGGTGTGTGTGTGTGTGTGTGTGTGTGCGGGGGGCACTCGTCCCCCAGTCGCCACCAACCCTCTGACGGCGGGGGAAGACCCCCGACACATAAACTCCTCGTTTTTGTAAGGTGCATCTGCACACACCCTTGTAAAAGGCCCTTATCAAAAGATGACGTAAGCAGAGGCACCTGGCCCTCACTGGCCTAGCCAGGAAAGGTGAGGGAGGAGGGGTCGCCTGCCCTCCCCTCCACTACACGACAGAGTGCGCGAGTGGCTTTCCTAGCACAAAAACTGATCTTACATCATACAGCAATTTGGGTAAGCAACAATAACGGGGCCCCATGTAATGTTATTTAAATATCCCAACCCCTCCTTGGCTATTTCTCTATGTTTCGAGTTGGGTTGGCGGTTGCGGTGGTTGTGGCGTACGTTTTTCTTACGAGGAGAGGTCAACTCCAGCCAACCACCGAGCCTGCCTGTTGTTATTTGGGTCAATACAGGGCCCAAATTCGCTTAGTGAGAGGGCGAAAGCGGGGTTAAACGTGCAGGGGTGGGACTGGGTAAATAGGGTGCAATCTGCACGGGGTCGGGTTGCCCCGAGGAAACCATGTCATACAGGAGGGTGTCAACGTGAACCCCCCGTGACTTCGTTGTACGACCTTGTGACGACGATGTGTGACCTTCTTCCTTGTTGCGTGCTTCCTAACGACATCAACAATAAATGATGGGCGTCGAAAAACAGCACGAATGATCCGCAGAAGAAATAACGTACAGTTCGACATCTCGGCCCGAATTCATCGATGAATACGCCTCCGACCAGGTTAGGCCAGTTGGGCCCGGGACTGATAAATCCCGTATGGGCTCGTTAAACCTCTCTGGGTAACGCAACCGAGGTGTATAATACACACACACACACACACACACACACACACACACACACACACAAATCCCAGCCGTAGCTGTAGCAGGAGCTCAGCCCATGCCACAGATAGCATGGACTTCCACAACAGCGCGGCGTTAATGCGATATGCATCATTAGAAGGTAGTTAACTCCTGGTAGCCGGAGTATCGCCAGAAGTTCTGACTGTCGCACAGAGGACCTGAATGTGTGCCGCAATAGTACACGTGTCAGACGACTACAGACTGGGCCTAGTACTAGTGGACTACACCCATGGTGTCGGGTAGCGGAGGACTTCCTTAATGGTGGGTTGGTTAGTTGGAATAACCTGGCACATTCATGGAGCTTGAGACAATAAGAGGCAACCTGCCGGACTTTAACCGCCGCCATGCGGTTGGCCTGTCTCTACAAGACTTCGTTCCGGTGGCTCCTTGCGGCCGCGCCACGCAGTGCTATGCCGTACTACGGAGTCAGCCGTCTCAGCATGAGTACATTCTCTCTATGCACACCGGATTTAGCTCGCCTACGTGCATGCATGAAAGCTTCATAACTTTACAAAGGGCATCTAGCAGTAGATCTATCTTAAAGCTTAGAAGTTTTTTACGGGCTTATACCTCCCATGGCATAATCCTCGCATACCTTGGGGGCGAAATTCGGCTGGGTATGGCTCAGCTATGGACCTGGGCACATGTACAATGGCTGTAAGCAGCTTATGATGACCATATAAAGCCACAACGCCTAGTCACCGACAAATCGCAAGCACTACGTGCATAGCTGGGGACAAGGCAAAAACTGCAATATGAATTCCAAACTTCGAAATAATTCCAAACCATGACAGTAAATGTAAACTGATGAAATATGGGCAGAGTGATTTTGCAAAAACCTTGCCGTTGAGAATTCACGTGGTCTCAACTCTGAAGGTAAGGATATTCGTGTGTCACAGTGTTATAATGAGGAGTTGCAAAGGGGGAACGTATATGCAGTAGCTGCCTGAACGCGCCGAAGAGGCTCTCACTCATGTTTCCATGGCTTCCGTTGGGTTCTGGTGCAATTGGTTTCCACGCAATCCATAAGGGATTTTAGGATGGATTTCGGATTTGCAACTAGTTTCCCGCACCAGGCTAAACTCGTGCACTACTTGCCAGCGGCTGACAAAAGGCACGTCCTATGCGTAAGGTAAAAGTTGCCACGGTGTCGCCTTTTGATGAAAAATTCTACTTCTAAGGGAATTGAATTACCGCACCAGGTAGGATTTCCGGTTTTGCCAAACAGTTTGTGGTGCTACTCGTACTGGCCGTATTCGCAGGGCCCATGGTGCCACTTTAATTCCCTTGGTGACTCCTAAGTGCTCACTTTAAGTCCAGAACCTGCAGCTTTGCAGACTGGCAAATTTTACTTTCTCAAACCCTCTACGGCCCTAGCGCCGTCCTGCTCGTTCGCTATCTCTGTTAGCAGGTGCGACCCACCGGCGGCTCTTTGGCTGCGCCTTCTCAGCGCTGCAGCCCTTGTCTTACTTAGGTAGTGCGCATGGGTTTCTAGGTAAATTTTAGCCACAGCTCTGGCCGCGCGGAGGCCGCTACTTCCTGGCGCGCACGAAGTTGATTGTTGGGCGGCGCGACTAAGTTTCCCTCATACGACCCAGTCAGGGGTGGCAGTTTAGATTAACCGCTGTTCAATTATAACTCCTTCAACCGTTGTTACTGGTTAATTAAGGGTTTCTGTTCCCCATCTCCCATCCTGCAGAGTAGCACGGCAGTGTCCTACCGCTCCGGACTGTGCATAAAGGTTTAAGAAGGATGTCTGCCGACGCTGATGTTAACCTGGTTATTCGGATTGAGGAGGTCAGCTCGAAGGTGGCTGAGCGTAAGTTCATGCTGTTGTGTATTACCTTTCCATCTCTCGTCCTCTTCTGTTTGCCCGTTTCCTTGAAACTTTATGCATGCAAAAAATAAGATTTATTTATTTCATGAAGTGAGAGAATGCCACTTAGCGCACATTTGCACTAAGCGTTATGAACAACCTTTTCTCTTTTTGCAGTGCCGGAAACCAAGGCCTCTGCGGAGATCATTGCCAAAATTGCCAGTGGCGATGCCTCTGCTGCTTCGGACCTGGCCGCTCACCTGAAGGCCGCTGGTGCCAAGGTGTGGCGGCTTCATATCCAGCATATGCTGGAGCTGACATAGTCCCAAGCCACAATAGCCTTATCTATCGTGCTATCCGTGCTGGCAACGTCGTATGCCGTGTATGCCCCAATCCTGAAAATCGACTGGTTGCTTGTCTTGTTTTCTGCAGGGCTTCGGTGCTACACAGGCGCTGAAGGCGGCTATTGAGGATAAGGCCAACGCCAACGCCCGTGCTGCTGGGCTTGCCGCATATCAGGCTATTTGCGAGGACATCGGCAGTGCAGCTGAGCCTTTCGTAGCCCCGCTACTGCCCGCTGTGCTGGAGCAGTGTGGTGACAAGGTGCGCCCGGCGAGGCATCGATCGCTTGTTGTGTTTCTCTCAGCATGACTTTGGACGATGTGCTATCATAACCGACCGATTATGGAGCAACGTCACGGCAGCAGCGCCAGGGCTGTCATGCTTTCTTTGCCTCGCCTGATTTTCGTAGTGCGCGCTGTCTGCCCTCCTCCTACATGCGCACGTGCGGCTTGCGCGTTCTACTTTGACATTCGCGGCGCGGCCTCGGTCCGCACTCCTTTTGGTTTTACCCTGGGGGCTTGTTCCTGCTGGTCTTCCTGTCCACAGAAGCCAGAGGTGAAGGCCGCTGCCGAGTCCGCTGCAAAGGCCCTGATCAGCATCATCAACCCTCATGCTGTGTACACCGTGCTGGGCTACCTGTTCGAGTGCATGGACGCCAAGAAGCACCCGGCCACGAAGGAGGCTGCCCTGAACCTCGTGAAGGACCTGGTCGGCATGCACCCCAAGCAGATTACGCGTGCTCTGCCGGATATCGTCCCTGCTGTCTCGGGCTGCATGAACGATTCGAAGCAGAGCGTCAAGGTGGGTATGAATGATCTTACAATGACGCTTCCCTTTTTTAATGCCGGGGTATGGTGTGATGGTTTTGATCGGGGGGACATGGTGTGATGGTTTTCGAGTGGGGTTGCGGATTCTTATCCCCGTGCTGTCTTGCTGCTCTTGAGGACAGCCGTGGGCGTTGCCGTCTTTCACGTACGTTATGTATTGATGCAAGTATCCGTACCTTACTGTGCGCCGAAGCCTGCAATCATGTATGTGTATGTCCCCAACGCACGTGACTAAGCAGGTGAGGTTCCCTACCCCAATTCCACAGGACGTTGCTTCGGAGTGCATGAAGGCCGCCTGCACCCTGGTGGGCAACCGTGACATTGACAACATGGTGCCGCTCATCATCCGCTCCATCAACAACCCCCAGGAGGTGCAGGACACCGTCCACAAGCTGGCTGCCACCACCTTCGTTCAGCAGGTGAACGACTAGTTACAGTTGTCATGGGTGAATCGCTTAGTGCAAATCTGCGGGGCAGGTGTGGGTGGCTGTGTCGAGAAACCCTAAACGGAATGGCTGGTACGAGTTATCTTGCTGTGGCTAGTGGTCGTTGATAGAGCTCCTGCTGGCTACGTTTCCATCTGACATTCTCTGTCTTCCACCATCTCTTATCCTGACAGGTGGAGGCTCCTGCTCTGGCGCTGATGGTGCCGCTGCTGTTGCGTGGCTTGCGTGAGCGTGTCACCGCCATCAAGCGCAAGGCCGCATTAATTGCCGACAACATGTCTAAGCTCGTGGACAACCCGGCTGAGGCCATGGTGTTCCTGCCGCGTCTGATGCCTGAGATTGAGAAGGTAGGCCCCATCCCGCATCTGGGTTTTGCACTGATAGTGCATTTTGGGACACTAGTGGGGCACAGTCTTGGGAATATAGGCAACTGCTTAAGTTGCCACCCGGCGCAGGTTGCCGCTGATTCTGTTTCTTGACAAACTCCTGAAGACATGCATTTTTTTATTGTGTGTCGCAGGTTGCCGCCGATGCTGCCGACCCCGAGCTCCGCAAGGTGGCCACTGGTGCTCAGAAGACCCTGCAGCGCATTGAACAGGAGGGCAAGGAGAAGCTGGCGAAGACTCTGGACAAGAGCGCTGCTCTGAAGAGCCTGCACGACCTGCTGGCTGCTTCGGCCGATGGCAAGAAGGGTCTGGTCCCTGAGGCCTACCCTGTCCTGGACTACGCAGCCGCCCTGTGCGCCAACCTGACGAACAACAAGAACTTCGAGATTGAGGAGTGGCGCGACAAGGTGTGCAGTGTTTTTGCTTAGTGATTCTTGGGTCTTTTCACATTGCAACTTCTTTTATTTGCTAAGCATGAATCACGCTTGAGGCATCACGATGTGGCTTGTATTGGGTCAACTGCCAAAAACTCGTGACGTGTATTGATTATGCAGGTTCTGGGGACCTACCTGGGTGTCTTCGTCTCTGCCGGTACCCTTGCCCCTATTGCCAAGACGCTGTGCGACAAGTGCTTCGCGGAGGTGCAGGTGCGCGGGCTGTCCTCGGGTCCTCCGCTGGTTAGCAGGGAATCGGTAGTACAGCATAATCGGTTGGGAGTATCCTACCGATTCGTCGCAATTCAGCTTTTAGCCTGGTCGACATGTTATATGATGTGTGAAACAGGAGGGTGTATCTTCGCCCGTGGCAGCTACCCTGCGAAACCCTGCCTGCCCCGGTATTTCGGAGCACCCTCATCCAGTCACCCTAGTCAACTTCTCAGTGGATCGCTCAGGTTCCGCACCCACCACCAGCATCCAACGGAATCTGCCGGGTCGACAGCGGCCCAACTCCATTCCTGGTTGGCTCGCGGGTTAACTTTATCCCAGGTCACCACCGTCCATCAACTAGGGGCGCAATGCCTTCCACCATCGGAAGGACTTTTGACCCTAATGGGTATCGATTCCGGGATCTCCCGAGGGCAATGGTCGCGCCTTACCAGTAGTGCCAACCCCTAGTATGTATATGTTGTCACATCCGTCACCTGTCGACCTTGCCCCGGGCTACTTCAGGTCAAGAGCACCGAGTACTTCGACGACGAGGAGGGCGATGAGCTTTGCAACTGCGATTTCTCGTTGGCCTATGGTGCTAAGATTCTGCTGAACAACGCTGCCCTGCGCCTGAAGCGTGGCCGCCGCTACGGCCTGTGCGGACCTAACGGCGTTGGCAAGGTGTGAAGAAAGCCCATAGCATCTGCTGGGGACCTGAGCATTTCGGTTATCCAGCTGAATGGATTGTTTTGATTGTTTCACTTCAAATTCCGATTCACCGCCATTCCGCACTGATCTGAAGAATGGATTTGTCGGCCTGTCCCTACCGCCTTGCAGTCTACGCTGATGCGCGCCATCGCCAACGGTCAGGTGGACGGCTTCCCGCCGAAGGACGTTCTCCGTACCGTGTACGTGGAGCACGACATTGATGGCTCTCTGTCCGATCTGAGCTGCGTGGAGTTCGTGTTCGCTGATGCTGATCTGCAGGCAGCCGTGGCCACCAGCAAAGAGCAAGTCACCACCATGCTGTCGTCCGTCGGCTTCGACGATGCCATGCTGGTAAGCCTGACGACGGGGATTGGGGTTGGTCGGTTTGCTTTTTACCACCGTTTTGCTCTGTTATGCCCTCTTTAGGGCTGGTGATGGTGTTTCAGGATAGCATTATCACGAACGTTTATTTGATTTTCACCCCAGGCCAAGGCTGTCGGCTCGCTGTCGGGTGGCTGGAAGATGAAGCTGGCGCTGGCCCGCTGCATGCTCATGAAGCCAGACATTCTGCTGCTGGATGAGCCCACCAACCATCTCGACGTGAACAACGGTAAGCTTATTTAGGCAATCTCCCTTCTGCACAACCTGAACAGGCATGTGACGGTCATTTCTTGTGTAAAGAATAGTGTAAGGAACAAGAGGAGGAAGCCACTTGCCTGACACGCGTGCTGTATTGGATTTCTTGCACTTGCAGTCGCGTGGCTGGAGAGGTACCTGGTGACTTTGAAGGATGTGTCGGCCATTATCGTGTCTCACGACTCCGGCTTCCTCGACCACGTGTGCACGCACATCATTGATTACAACAACCGTAAGCTCCGCGTCTACAAGGGTAACCTTTCGGAGTTTGTTAAGGCAAAGCCGGAGGCCAAGGCTTACTATGAGCTGACGGCGTCGACGCTTACGTTCAAGCTGCCGGAGCCTGGTGAGTCTAGCATGTGATTGAATGACGGAATGCCACCCTATCTTGGGTTGGCAATGAAACGACTTATCACATAGGAAGATGGTTTGCGAATCAGTGTCCTGGAGTAGGAATGGAAATGCCGTCTTCACTAAGTGCTCCCGTACGGTGCATTGCGCTCGCAGGCTACCTGGAGGGTGTGAAGACCAAGGACAAGGCCATTCTGAAGGCCGACAAGGTCTCGTACAAGTACCCAGGCACTGATCGCCTGATCTTCGAGAACGCCACTGCCTACTGCACGCTTTCATCGCGTATTGCCTGTCTGGGTGAGTGGGGTATCTAAAGCTTGCGGGTCGGTGTTATTGGTTCGGGATGGATTTGGGTGCTGACTGGCTGCTCATGTACGCCAAATTCATCAATCTCGGATGCCCCTCATTTCTCTTCCTTTCAGGCCCCAACGGTGCGGGCAAGTCTACTCTGATCAAGGTGCTGACGGGCGAGGTCGAGCCCACGTCGGGTACCGTCTGGAAGCACCCCAACCTGCGCATTGCCTACGTCGCGCAGCACGCCTTCCACCATTTGGAGAAGCACTTGGACAAGGTGGGGCTTCTTACATCGACACGGGGCATTATTGTTGCCCATACCAGAGGTGGTCTCGTAGTTGTATTCGCACGTGGTTTATGCATTTGATCTTTGTTAGCAGATGCTTTAAAGATATTGTCTTGATCGTTCTTTCGCCTCAGACGCCCAACGAGTACATTCAGTGGCGCTTCGCCCCCGGTGAGGATCGTGAGGCTCAAGAGAAGGAGACCCGCCTGACGGAGGAGGAGCAGAAGAAGCTACAGGAGACCAAGGTGCAGATTGGCGACGACCCCAAGGTCAAGCGCTCAGTAGAGAAGCTGCTGGCTCGCCGCAAGCTCAAGAAATCCTACGAGTACGAAGTGCAGTGGGCCAACACCCCGGCTGACCAGACCAGCTGGCTGCCCCGCGACACTCTTGTGGAGCTCGGGTACGTTGGCAAACGGGGAGAGGCACAACCTTGTGTGGAATGAACACGTTCTTTTGGCATTGTTCCGTTGGTAGTACCCTGACCCTTCATAAAGGTAGCTGCACGTTGGTGGCTGCAGGTACGAGAAGCTGGTCAACGAGATCGATATTAAGGAGGCCGCTGCTCTGGGTCTTTTTACTCGCCCGCTCACTACCGCCTCGATCCAGAAGCACCTCGACGACCTTGGTCTGGAGTCCGAGTTCGCGCTGCACAGCCAGGTGAGTGTCTTGTCAGGATTTCCTTATAAACCTGAAAACGTTGCTGCCGCTGGAGTGAGCTAATGTAATTTTTACGTATGTGGTTCTCCCTGCAATGCGCAATGTAGCAAGTAAGAATTCTTCCTAATGTTTTTTTTGCAGATCCGTGGTCTGTCAGGTGGTCAGAAGGTCAAGGTGGTGCTGGCTGCCGCTACATGGCAGAACCCACACTTGATCGTGCTGGATGAGCCCACGAACTACCTAGACCGCGACTCGCTCGGTGCGTTGGCGGGTGCCATCAAGGATTTCGGTGGTGGCATTGTCATTATCAGCCACCACAACGAGTTCGTGTCGGCCCTGTGCAATGAGCGGTGGATTGTTGGTGGCGGCAAGATGGTGCGCGAGGGTGAGAACCTGATTGCCTTCAAGGAGAAGGTCGAAATCAAGGTTCAGGACGAGGTGATTGATGCATTTGGAAACACCATCAAGGTGAAGGGCCCCAAGAAGGAGAAGATGTCGAACAAGGAGAAGAAGGCTCTTGAAAAGTTGCGCAAGGCCCGACGCGAGCGTGGAGAGGTAGTTACCGACGACGAGGAGGAGATGTAATACGCGATCGACGTGGTTTCGGGGAAATTGCAACTGGGAAGGGCGTGCCCTGGGGTCTGTTGAGCTCCTGATGCACGCCGCTACCAGGGAGTGTGGTGTCTGTTTGTCCCGGAGCGGTCTTATGTGGGAGAGTCGCCTCGCCATTTGCAGCCACTGCCATAGCCTCCCGACCTCTAATGGTGTTGTTCGAGCTGGCTGGCGTACAACTGCAGTACGGTTCCTTCGCCTCTGTTTTAGCTGTGACTTTTAGCGAATGCTGCTCAGGGCCGTGGTCAGCTTTGTCACTGGGTCACCTGGAGTATATGGAATCAGGCAGTGGACGATTCGCATGTGTCTCTGTCGTTACTGTTTTATCCCACATGGACGAGCGTCTTGGCTCTGGCCGACTGGGTTGGAAGTGGTACAAGGCAAATGGTTTGCTTTTTCCGCCTTTGCCGTCGCGTTTACGCTCGATCTCGTTTGGTTGGGGTCCGCTACGTATCAATGCAGTCGAAGGGTCTAGAGAGGATATTTGCGTGCATGACATGCAGAGCGCAGATTAAGAGAAGAAATATGCTATGACGACATAGCCTTCAGACTTGGGCATTCTACACTTGTGGTGGTCTGGTGTGCCTCCGCTTAGAACCTTTCATCACCTGTTCTCAATCGAGTACGATGTGCATGAGAGATGACCTTCAACATACAATCCGCAGTAGTGTATCTGGGCTTTGGATTCGAGGCCATATCACTTCATTGACGGTATGTAATTCCAATGCTGCTAAACTTTGGCGTTTGGTTGTGATGCACCAGTCCTGCACATCCGTCACAATAGTTGGGTACGGTTGTAAGAAATATATGCCAGTCCTCAATACGTAGGTACATGTTTGGCTGGACATACATTCTGTCTCAGAAAACATCGAAAACTAGTAGTGCCCCTCATCCGGGTCCCTACGATCTCCTGTCGCAAAACTTGTTGTGTCGCAGGCCCGCGCTGTAAACGGACATGGTCCCAGAACCTCACAATCTGTTTGAAAATGTGGTAGTGGTCGCAGCGACAAATCAGCGAACAGGACATGATCCATTGGTCTGGCAGCAATTTGTCACATGAATCACATCTGAAGCTGCACCGCTCCATCCTTTAGGCATGCCTCGAAGGGCCTCTCCGCAAGGTCCCTCTCGCATCACTCCGCCTCCTGAGCCTGTCCAAGACCTCAGCTAGCATGAACGGCCCCCACACTTGACAGCCATACAACAGTATTGCTCGTACCTGCGTATCAAAACACCTCATCCTCACATCTGGGCCGAACAACTTTAGCTTATCCAATTTTGTAAATCACGCGAACATAGCAGCTCTATCTATATACCACTGCTGGCGGCAGGCCCGCAACGGCCGTTCTGGCCCATACACTAACCCCAGAAATCGTGCACCCTCCCTGGCGGGTACGGCCTCACCAGCCAGCCTAGCCCATCACACGATGCTTGAACAAAACTCCTTGTGTCGCTGTCGCTCGCAAAAACGAGGCGTTCACATTCCGACACATCTGGCCGTATCCCAAAATCATCACACAGTACACGTCCACAATGCTAAGCAGCTCCCCCATGCGTCCCGGTGTCGTTGCCAGGAGACTAACGTCATCAGCATAGAGGAGGATGGACACGCGCTCATTTCAGGTCAAGTCATATTTTGATTTGGCTTTGGAAGATGGTATGGTTCAGGTCCAGCGTGACTTCTGTTTACGTTGCGCTGGGCTCAAGCAGGTACCTTACAAGCTGTTGTACAGGGAGTTGTCTCAGTTGCCTTTGCAGTACTTTTGGTTACGTCTTGCGTTGTGTTTCTGGAATAGGATAGTCAAGTCCCGTGGGTCGGTCTATCATGATGTGTTAGTAGATGATCTCCGTCTGGCTCTTCTGTCTGATCTCAAAGTGGATTGCTGGTCGTCTAAAGTGCTCATCATTTTGCGTTGGTTGGGTCATGAGTGGCCGGCGTGTGACTCCGTCTCTCAGAAGGTAGATGTGTACTCGTCTCAGTTGATTCGAGTGGGTGAGGTTCTGGAGAGGTTATCTGCGTTCCTTTTAAGTGACTGGGATCAGTTCAGCCAAGGGGGTGATCCGCGTGTGTTCCAAGGTAAAGGGGTTTCGCTTAGCAGGTATCATAACTGGATGGGCTCCCCTTCACCTGCAAAAGAGGGCTCCGATCCCACAGGCTATTTGCGTGTTTATTTGCCGGTCAACCAGTTGCGTATGGTTGCCAAATTTGTTGTTGGCCTTTGGAGGTCAACAAAGGGCACCATAGGCCGAGAGAGTGCCGTACGTGTCAGGTCTGTACGTCGGGTAAGGTTGAGGATGAATATCATGTGCTTATGGAGTGTGAGGCGTATACTGAGTTGCGTAATATGTTTCTGATTAACGTTGAAGATACTGATATGCGCAAGGTATTTCTTAATACCAATCCGAGGAAAATCGCTACTTTCCTTACTGAGGTTTTTGATGAGCGTCAACAGCGTGCTCTGGAGCCTCACGGCTCGTGAGGGCGTCGGCGGCGGAAATACTGTAACCACAATACAATACAATTTCCAGCCTTCGTTGCATCCTCCGGCCGTGCCCTGGTGTCATGCATATCAATGGCGTCCGCAAGAGTTTCAATGAAAAGTCCAAACAGCTCCGTTAATAGTGTATCACGGATTCCGTATCCTTCCAAATCTCGACACGTGAATGTATTCGGGGTTCATCACCAGTCACATCGCAGCCGTTGATGTAGCTGAGGATCTTCCGGGCAGCAACTCGATTCACCTGACCGGAGCATCATCTTATGTCCCTTTTCTGCGCCCCACCGAAGGTCTGATCTGCGGTCGCATTCGTCAAGTACTAGTCTGCCCCCCATAGTGCTCCGAAGCCAGTTTTCTTGCCTGCTTACCGACCGGTCGACGGTTGAACGACAGTTGGACGAGCAACGGCGCTTCAACCGAAATGTAATGGATACAATTAACTCGTTGCAATCGCTTATTACCATGGGTGATGAACAGTGGAACAATACGGCAGCAGCAGGTGCTGGTGCAGCTGCAGGTCCAATAGGAGCAGCGGCAGCGTCTGGCTGGCGCCGTCATAAGTCGTCAAAACATTCGGAGACTTGAAGATGGAGCCTGGGGAATGGACAGGGGAGCTGATGAGCACTAACTTACAGTGTTGAGATGTGTCCATGTTAAATCAGGTGCGTGATGGGCATAGTGAGCAGCTTCAAGCTTGAAACTTAAGTGGTTGATGGGCGGGCTGTCAGTTCTATTGGGACAGGTAAGGTGTTTTTGTCGTGTGTCGCAAATATGGAGGTAACTGTGTCTGCACATGCGTACTAGGGTGTGTTACACTTTGGTTGCGTTACCCAGATAGAGAGGTGTAATGAGCCCAAGTTTTAATACCCAAGCAATATGCACAAGAGGACACTAGTAAACTATGACTGCCTGTGTAGAGACGAGCGTGTAAGCAAAATGTTCTGTACCAGCAGCTGGACGGGTTTTGTTTGCTCGCTGTCCATCATATTCGTCTTCATATCGGGTGGCTGAAGAGTGTGCCCAAGCACTCGCGACATGCATAATAAGCTGGGCATTCTAGGAGAATATAGCGCTCATCTTGCACCGTGCGCAGTTGTGCAGCATGCACAGCTCACAGATCCGCTGCGCACGGGGCTTTCCAGCAAAGGCACGATTCGCCGCTAGGCGCCAACAGCTCGTTCAAAACCTTATCAAAGAACGGTGCACATCTGCTGGGATAAGCTCACGGATATGGGGGAGCCAGGTAGCCCCAGCCGAGTTTTCGAACGGCAAACACACCCAATGCGCGTATTTTGCCATCACAACCCCTGGTTGGTTCCTATCCGACTAGAAATCCGATGGGCAGTGTTTCCTTCCAAAATTGGAGTCCATCCAAGATCTTTTGTAGCTTAGGGAGCTATCTTTTGTTGTGTTGCTTATCGCTCCTGACCCAAGCGGTCGGAGGGGGCTACGGTCCCCATGACCCCCCGTTGGATAACCAACACAGTGCTGCCGTACTGCAACTGGGGTGCAAATCCCTTCCTGACCCAGGTGTCTGTCCGTTCCATGCAATACCTCTTAGAGTGTCTCCCACGTTGTCGTTGTCTTGCTCTCACACCAAAACCGCTCCATGCAGTAACAGGGCAACTCTCTCAGTTCTCACATTCTTGGTTGGTAAACCCACACAGTGAGCTGTGGCGAAGGCTCCAGTAGTTATTATTACCTCACCCTTTACTGCCCCGCTAACGACATGGACTCTGTTCTGAGGCGCTGGAGTCCCCATCTCTCGCCAACGTTTCCTAGTTGATGGCCCCTTGAGGCGCCCCGGTTGAGGTCTGGCTCAGCTACACTCTTCGCAGTGCATTGCAGCATTCGAACCCTCAAGAAGCATCCTATGCCCGATAAAGTGTTTTCTCGATAAATCACTTAATTAAATGTTATGCATTAAAGAAGGGTTGACCTAAGTACCAACTACCAGCAGCAGCAGCAGCCGCAGCAGCAACCACAGCCACAGCCGCATGAGCAGCAGCCACAACAGCAGCAGCCAGAGATGCCAACGCCAGGGGACGCCTCCAAGCACCCCTAACAGCGCTCAGGCGATGACTATGATCCTAAAGCGTGTCGGATGGCAGATACCGGGTGCGGTGGGAGAACGAGAACAAAGAAGCGCTGTGGCGGCTCGCCGTGGATGGCCGGCCTGTCCGGCAACACACACCTGACCCGCATGGGGCCCGAGCGATGTGGGTGCGGAAGGTTCGGCAATGCCAGCAACCAGCAATGCTCCCCACGCATGCACCACTTCTGGGAGCGCCCCGTCGCACAAGCTGTCCGGGAGCAAATTGACCGACACATACAGCGCTCCCAGGCGACAGGCGGCATCACCCGGAAGCAGCTGCGGTTGGTCCAAGCCCCGACAGGCTGCAAACAGGCCCCCTGGGATGTGATCGCCCTGGCAGCCCTGTCCGCTATGGAGGTAGGCAGGTGCTGTCTGCGAGCAGCCTGAAGGCGACTGGAAAGGGCGGCTAACCCCCCGACAGAACAGCCAGAGGAAGCGCAACAGATCCAGGTACAAGGGCCCCAGCAGCGGCGGATAACGGACTTCTTTCACCTGGCCAACGGCGCGAGACCGCACGAGGGGCCTTCGCTGCACGCGCCAGTACTCGAGGATCAAACGCGGGGCCCCAACGCGGGACCGGGGACGGCAACAGCAACAGCTGCAGCAGCAAACCCCCTGGAATACGATCGCGCTCGGGCAGTAGTGGACTTCTGGGCGCGCTTGCGCTCTTTCACCGCGCTGAACGTCCCAAGGCGGGGCTGGGACGGAGTGGGACCCCACCACCCGATCCTGTCAATCGTTGGGGGAGCACTGCGCTGCGCGGAGGCGGTGGACATCACGACCTAAGGGTCAAGCGGACGAGGCGGTAGCTGGAGTCTAGGGGATAGGGTGTCGAGGCGCGGAGGGGGGATGAGGTGTGTGGGTGGTAGGGAGATCGAGGGGAAAGGTTGCGAGGGGTGCGGCATCAGGGATGGGGGTTGGAGTGGTGTTGCGCAAGGGGGGATGGGGGAGGGTTTATATGTCTGGGGGAGCCGTGCCGGTGGAGTGGGGAGACAGAGGCCGAGGGGCCGAGAGGACTGGGGAGACCGGGGGAAGGGCGGGGAGGGCCCGGGAGGGGAGGGGAAGAGGCAGAGAGAGCACCAAGAGGATGTAGGGTTGAGGGCTGGTGAGTGGAAACAGGTGGCCGTAGCGAGGGCGCGGATGAGGGGGAGGTGGGCACCCAAGAGGGGCCGTACTCGGAGGTGCGCGCGTGGTGCAGGACTAGGCCCGTCGGAGTACGAGGCCGGGTTTCATGTGTTGCGGCGTCTAGGTGAGATAGAGTCTTGGGAACCAGCCGTCTTGGTAGAGCGGTAAGGGGGGGCCGCCGAGCTGGCTAACCCCCCCTTGTGGTTGTGGGGAGCTTGATCGCCCGGCGTCGCTGCAGGGTTTTCCCGTTCGAGTACTTTTCGAGTTGGACCCAGTGCTGTGGAAGGGCGTGGGCTTGTGCGATGTTATCCCCCTGACGGGTGCTATAATCCCCCATGCTCGGAAACGTAAAGGAGCGGCGGTCGCTGACGGCGTCGGCGCCGATGGCGCCAAGTTTGCAGTCAGGCCCCTGGTGCGACTCGAGGGGGCGTGTTGGTGCGAAGGGGTGCTGTGTCGCCCCGTGGCCGCACTTCAGGCTGTTGCGAGTGGCAACTGGCAGGTCCTATAATACTGCCAGCTCGACAGACTACCCAAGCATTAAAACCCCTGCTGTGTGCCGGTAACAGCACCTCAGATTCACACGTTTACGCCCAGGCAAGGGGCTATCGGTGGCAGGTCGCGGACCTCACGAACACGTGTAACGGCTAATGTCTCTTAGTCGTGTCTGCTAGGTCCCAGTGAGATACCGTCTCACTAACAAATAAGCCTAATGGGCGTGAGCGCACCGCGCGTACCTGCAGGCTTTGTGACTGCGGAGCGGTTGAAGATGAACTGCATGTTTTTTATGAATGCCCCGCTTACAAGAGCATACTGGCTAAGTATAATGGTGACCTGGCAGCATGCGCACCATTATGACTGAGGCGCCACCCCTGGCATTGGCCAGGTACCTCTCGGAAATTTGGGAGGCCAGGCACGTCGCGAGGAGGCACTTTGCCATGAAGCGAACGAGGGAGGAGGAGGATGGCCTCCCGCGTACCCGCGTCAATACCAATATAACGTCCATGGCCCCCCTGGCTTTTCCGGACACACCCGCCCATGAGTGCGGAACTTGTAACTTAGGGGAAAACCCTAAAACCCTAAACCCAACCTCCAATTTGTTTGATGAATATTTTCTACTATCATTAGTTATATCAGTATATGCATTTAGAACGGTGAGATACGAGTCCAGGACGAAGAACATTCGAACTTAGTTAAGTTCAAAAACATCTCACACCTGGCTCAGCAAATCACCCAAGCGATAAGAAACTAGTTAATTGCTTTATTAGATAGCAAAATTTCTCTAAGGAAATCGCGCAAAGGGCCTCCGTACACGAAAAGCAGGTCACATCCATTTCGACCTATGCCATCGGTACACGGGGTCGTTTCTCCAGGACATGCAAATCACCCTTGTTGTAATAGGTCTATGTTAATAGAGGCAGTAAGCGTTGCCCGCGCAAGCTGCAAGCACTAGTGCTGTTACGAGACGTCACTCCGAGTCTCCAACACCAAGTGCTATCACCAAAGCAGCCAAAAGCTTATAGAAGGCAAAGTGGATCGGAAGCACAAGTGATTTCCAGAGTCCAGAGTCCAAGTGCATCCTGCAGCTATGCTCAGTTACGAACTCACTACACTACATGCTTCTCAGACCAAAGAGAATAGACAGATCATCCCCTGTTATACCGACTCAGAAGACGATCGGAAAGGTACGGAAGATCGCACTTGGCGCCAAAATCCAATAAGCATGGCATACAAGCCGTTACTTCAACAGTCTACAACACTGCTTATTGGGTGGTCGAATGTTGAGCCCTCAAATCATAGCGGACAAGCTCCAATTGGTTCTGAAGAAGATGAGGGAGACAGAAGACGAGTTGGAGAATGTCAATGATCGCCTGAAGTTTGTGGAGGAGCAGCTGGAGGCTGCCTCAACTGAGGAGATGCACAACCGCGTGAGCAGAGAGATGGAGTTGGCGATTCGGCATAAGATAAACTTACTGCGGCAGATGGTAGACCTATCGCGGCAAGAGAACATCCTGCGGCAAAAGAAGGACAGTGAGTTGTAGGAAAAGTCTCTTTGCGCCCCTCTTTGCCGCAGATGCCACGGTGTAGGATCTCCGATAGCTTCACACGCACGGCTTCGGGTACTTAAGGTTGGGCACGGTCGCGCAAACGGCTCCATACATTCAATGGCCCTCTATGTTTCTCAGCGGTTGGTCTATACAGCTGGAAGTTTTAAATGGCTGTGCAAGCGGTATAGGCCGCTATGGAAACGGAGGGAGTAGAATGCGTCCTTGGGTGTGGTTTCTTCGTAAGTAGTTTGGCTGTAGCTGGTACTAACTTCCGCTGTGTGTCCTGCAGGTCGCTACCGCCATGCGGCTCCCTCGGTAGAGCGGTTCTGGAAGAAGTTACCGTCGGCAACGTTAGCCATGTGCACGGAGGGCTACGAGATCCTGCGGCTTGCACCTGGCACTAAGTTCCCGCATCTTGGCAATCTCACGGCTTTGCTGTGTCGGCCCTGCTACCACACCTTGTTGGATGAGGTTTTTGCATCTGAGGCGAGCCCCGATAGCTCCCGCCTATTTCTTATCCTCGGAACACCAGGCAAGTTGTGTTCCGATTTAAGCTCGGGAATAAAACTGTCCCAAAGGATAGGCGATGGCGAAGCTGAGAATACGGATTGGAAGGGGCAAGCTCCTTGCCTGGGGTGTTTTAATGTAGCAGTTCCGGGATTGAGGCTTTAATGGGAGATACTATTCATGGTTCAATGCAGGTATCGGCAAGAGCGCGTTTTTGTACTACTTGCTTTACCGGCTGGCGTGCCTGGGCAGAACCGTCGTGTGGTACAGCAAGTCGACGGATTTAGTGCTGATGTATACACCCCACGGTGTGTTCGAGGCAGACTCCACTACAGCTTTTAGCGTGGAGCTAGAGGATCCGAGTACATGGTATGTTGTGCAAAGCACTGTTTGCGATTTTTTGCTGTGCATGCTAACTTTTCTGTCGCATTGTAATCATGTTTGTGGTTGCTCACCAGGTTCTTGTGCGACGCTGTTGAGCCGCCAGACAAGGAGGCAATCACCGTAATGGTGTCATCACCCTGCAATAATAACTACAATGTGAGTACATGTTTTCGGTCGCTTGATGCATGAGGGGTTGTAACTGCTGAGTTTGTCATACTTGAGTCAGTTATTAACTCAGTTATTACAGTTATTATTACAGTTATTGCTGTAACCGCCCATGTCCAGAAGTAATATGTGAGACGAACCAGATGATGATTGAATTGTCCATTGACATGGACCGAGCACGGGTTCACCCCTATTGATGTTTCATGGTTTGCTTTTAGGTTTGTGTGTCGCATGAATTAAAGCTCGTCAATCTGTATCATTGCCTGTTCTGGGATTCTGCTGCTGCACCAGTACGCCCCCACCTCCCATCTCGTTTTTTTCCTTCGGGGGCACATTTTGCGGTACTGTTGGACCTGACTTTGCCTGAGTATGTGTGTGTGGGTTACACCTTGAGTTGCTTTACCTTCCAAAAGGTGTTACGGGTCCACACAAGCCCTGAGGGAGCTCAAGGGCCAGCCCAGGGGTGCCAGAAATAAATAACGCAAAAACGCACAAGAAAGATTACTACCTTGCGCTCAACATGAAGAAATATTGCATGCTCCTCGCCTTCCACGGTTTGGAGCTTCAAGAACTTGCCGATCCTCTGCTCACGTGGGATCCCCTTTAATCTCTATTCGCTTCTAGTGGCCAGCAATATGAACAAAAAAGTGATAGCAACCGATGCATTACGACAGGGATAAACTTATTGGCATGCGTCAATATCACACAGCCCTTGAAAAGACCCTCCGCTATAATGCACTTGGTGTATCGAAACAGAGCTCAGTAGAGAGTCTCAGGTCTCCAGACATGTACGTGGTTCTGTTGGCCACGTCCACTGTTCTCCACTACAGGGCTGTGGCGTATTTTTGGCCGTACATGTCACTCATGACTTGCGTTCTACCATCACATGTAGGATTACGTCAAGCGAGGTGCCATGCGGCTGTGGATGGGCCCCTGGTCCTTGTCGGAGCTGAAGGTGGCGCGTGAGGCGATGTTCCCTTCGGTCGATGTGGATGAAGTACTGCGGCTTTATGCCCGCTGGGGCGGCATCCCGCGCTTCGTCTTGGAATGTGCAAACAATTCATCCATGCAGGAGCAGTTTGACGAGGCGATAGCAGTAGCAAGTCCGGAACTGATATATAGGGCAGTGGGCAATATTGAGGCTGCGCCGGCTGTTAGTCACAAACTGCTTCACATCCAGGTGCGAAGTCGTAATTTGACAGGCAATGTGTATCCAGCGCTGCAAACATGGGCTTTGGATGTGGGTCTCCTAGGGTGTGCGACAGGTATACATGTCAAGGCCCGGGAAACCCTTAGCTGAACTAATGGAATAATATTTAGCATTGCTGGTCAGTAGTCAGTAGTAAATTGCTCTCTGACACCACAATGCCCACTGACGGGTGCAAGCTGTGTATGGAGAATCTGTCCATGGCCCTGAACTGCATACCTTAAACAAGGTTTTACCAAGCTTTGGATTATTGTTTATATGCAGGTGGACGAGGAGTGCAATAAGGTAGGCCTGGTCTTTGGCTCAGAGGAAATCAGGCTGCGCTTGCGGCAGCTGCTGATGCACTCTGCATGGTTGGGCGAGCTTCTTCTCTGGTCCGCTGGCAAGTCGGAACTGGCCTCGCTGAGGGGCCAGCTGTTCGAGTGTGCAGCCCAGGAAGCCCTGAGTAAGGGCGGCATGTTTCGCGTGCGCAGCCTTTCCAATCCAGGACAGCGGCTCAGTCCTCTGAAGGTGCCACGAATGGAGCTGAAACTAGTGCAGGACAGCGACCTAAAAGAAATGAACCTTCAAAATTCAAAGTCAGGGCTTCTGATGGTGCCAGTGGCGAAGAATTTCCCAGCCGTGGACAGCTTTCTTTTTTTGCCAGCCAGTGGCCGCAGGCCAAGACAGTTGCTGTTCATCCAGGTGACCGTCGCAGCCCATGCGCATCCTATCAACGCATCGGCATTGAATAGCGCCATACAGAAGCTGTCAGGGAGCCTTCAGCGGGTCAAGTGCAACCTGTACTTTGCAGTGCCACCTGACCAGTTCGACTCGTTCACGAAGCAGCACGTTGATGGGCCTGAGAAGCTGGTGGACACTATGCATATGGAGCAATTTGCGATTGAGATCCCGCTAGTGGGCTTCGACACATATCCCATTCCGAGCAGTCCTACATGTGCTGGCAGCAGTAGTAGTAGTAGCAGCAGCAACAGGCCGTCTGCTGGCAGATCTAGCCGTGTTGTGCCGTCCACGTTGTGGTCTCCAACCAGCATCTCGATTCGGGGGCCCAGCCATCTGCCGAGGTTGCTTCCCCGCATGTTGCTTCAGAAGTCCCTTACCTCACGCATCTCCACTGCTGCCTCGATGCGGTTGCGGTGATGGTGTTGCTGCAGCTGCGGCAGCTGTATGTTTTCGTGGTAACCATCATCTATCCTTTGTGGCGACTACATCAGAAGCTGTGATGCATGTCCACGGCTTTACTTGGCGTATCCTCCATGGCATGATGCCGTGATGGGCCTTGCAGACATCAGGATTTGCCCTCAGGATGGAGCCCCAGAGGTTACAGTTGACGGATCGAGTTCCGCACGCTGGATAGGTGGCGATAGCTGAACCCTCTGTCTCTGCGGATGTTCGGGGAATGGATGAGATGGGATCCTAGAAGACGGGATCACTGCCTTGGACTTCCAGTTCGTATGGTGTAGTACAGTGTGGTAATGGTAGATGGCGCTATATGGTGTGATAAATCGTAGAAATGACAATGTGTTCAAGTGGCCCAGAAGCCTCCCACTCTAACAATTCAATTCAACTCAGCTGAATTCAAGCTTGAAACTTAAGTGGTTGATGAGCGGGCTGTGAGTTTTTGGATATTGGAACAGGTTAGGTCATGTTTTTCGTGTGTCATGAATATGGAGGTAATTGTGCCTGCACATAGTGTGTTACATCTCGGTTGCGTTACCCAGATGGAGAGGTATAATGAGCCCATACGAGCCAGAGGCCCACGAGCCTAGGAGCCACAAGTAAGTTGGGGACGTAGTAGTAAAACGCAAAAGTCCTAGTACCCAAGCATTATGCACAAGAGGACACTAGTAAACTGTGACTGCCTGTGTAGAGACGAGCGTGTAAGCAAAATGTTCTGTACCAGCTGGTGGGCGGGTTTTGTTTGCTCGCTGTCCATCATATTCGTCTTCATATCGGGATCTTGGCTAAAGATTGCGCCCGAGCACTAACGACATGCAGAATAAGCTGGGCATTCTAGAAGGATATAGCGCTCACCTTCCACCGCAAATGCACAATTCACAGATCCTCTGTGCACGGGGCTTCTGTGCTCCTGTCTCCCTTAACCGTATTCTCATGGCTCTGCCGATTCTGACGTGCTGACCGCGCTTGGAATGGTAGAGACGAGAAGCGGAGAGACCAGCTGCCAAGGGCCCTTACCCTGCAGCAGAACACAACCCCAGCCAACCATGGCCGCACGACTGCAGCCCACCGGCTGCCACACAACCAACACGCGGCCCACCACCACCCCTACAGGGCAACATCCACACGACAGAACGACACACAACGCGAGCCCAAAGAAAGCCTAACGGCCACCTGAACAAACTCACACACTGCGACCTAACTCCTGGAACCCTAGAAAACGCCCAACTGAGTTCATAGCGACAAGCACCACACCTCTGTAGCTCCCAAGGCCGCACTACTAGGCGAAAAGACCCACCTCAACGAAACCCTCCCCAACCCTCCCCCTGTCAGCCTGCCAACTGTCTGGCCACCTCTCAGCGGGCATCTGCCACCTGCCCGCCGCTGGCCGAGCCTGGCGTGGAGGTGTTTGCGATTAACCAGTGAAGAAAGGGAAAGGGGTGTGTGTGAGGGATAACAAGCGCAAGCCCGTGGGAGAAGGTTTGACGGGAAACTGTGTCAGCTACGAGCTGAAGCTCTCTCTACTGAGTGAAAGGCTGAATGCAGCGAAGGACCTGAAGTGTGATATACTCGCCACTCGAATACGGGTGTATGACAGTCGCACAGAACCAGACTTAGAGACACCGATCGCTTCGAACGGTGCACATCTGCTGGGCTAAGCTCTCAGATATGGGGGAGCTAGGTAGTCCCAGCCGATGTTTCGAACGGCAAACACACCCAATGCGCGTATTTTGCCATCATAACCCCTGATTGCTTCCCATCCGACCAAAAACCCGATGAGCAGAGAATCCATTTTTCTCCAAAATTGGAGTCAATCCAATTTCTTTTGTAGCTTAGGGAGCTATCTTTTGTTGTGTTGCTTATCGCTCCTGACCCAAGCGGTCGGAGGGGGCTACGCCCCCCATGACCCCCCGTTGGATATCCAACACAGTGCTGCCGTACTGCAACTGGGGTGCAAATCCTCTTCCGAACCCAAGGATCCATCCGGTCTATGCTGATTTATATTTTAAATTGGTGCACATTGTTCATCCAAGAGTGGGCGTGGCGCAGTGGTCAGCGCGTAGGTCTAATACTTCAAACATGACTTGGGGAATCCTAAGGTCGAGGGTTCGACACCCTCCGCCCGCACAGTACGGTAGAAGAGTACTTCTAGAGTTTTGATCCAATGTGATTGGGTGGCGACTCAGCGACTGCGCCGATTGCCAGGCTGCGTATAGGCATGTTTTGGTACCGAGCATCACTTGTTAAGGCATCTTACCTCAAAGCACCCTGGGCCGGAGCCAGGCCGATTATTATCATGTAATTTGCGGTGTTCGACTCCGTCGACCATGAGACACTTTGGGGCTTCCTCATGTCGTATGGACTACACGGGCGCGTCCTTGATTCCCTGAAGGCTAGCTACGAAGGTTAGGGTCAAGTTGGGGAATAGGTTGAGCGAGATTGGGTGTGGCGTGGAGTGCGCACTAGGCACACGGCCGCGCACTAAGCAAGGGTGCCCCCTTAGTGTAACCTTTTTTTGACTCATCGTAGAAGTATTCGCTCATTACATTGATGCTCACGATGCTGATTGCCGTGTACGCCTTCCTAGCCGATGGAACACCCTCAGCGAGCAGAGTGTTAGCCTGGCGGGCGGTGAACTCGCCAACCTGCTTTTCGTTGACGATGTGTCACTGGTGGCGACTGTGCACCAGCTGTAAGAGGGATCAGCTCCCCTGGCATCTCCCAACTGAGTACTCTTTGCCTGGTGTTACACCAGCTGAATGCCTTTGGGGCTACTCGAAGCCTACTGCAAGGCGACGGAAATGGCCGCGAACGCCGCCAAGTGTGAAGTCCTCGAGTTGCACTATGGCCCAGGAGTGCAGTTTTCAGCATGTGCAAAGCAACTACTCGCAGCAGGGAGGCGGGCCACGTTCGGGCTCAGCACTCTGTTGAGATAAGAAAATTACCACCCCCAAGCTATGTATGTCTCTCTATAATACACTAGTTGTACCGGTGTTTTCCTATGGAGCGCAAGTTTGGGGACCTGACTACATAAATGTGAGTTTTGGAGGTGCTATGACAAATCATATGGTCCAGGAGCAACGTGCGTACATGCGATCTGTAATTGGGGCGAGGAGCCCGACTATGGCGACTATACCGTGAGCTGTCACAGAGGCCGCTCCAGTTCCATTGGACCAATCTTGTACTTAGGTTTTGGAACTCCGTGGTTAAGAGGCCGGGAACGCTGTGTCATCAGGCATTTGTCGCCGACCTGGAATTGGCACTCGGGGGCGTTACTGAGTGCTGGACAAGCAAGGTTTCTAGCTTAGGAGCGGAACCCCCCACTAGTACGCGCGGTGATGACCTCATAGCGCATTACGCCACCCTTCAATTGCCAGTAAAGAGCATTCTTAAGGTATTTGCCTTGCGGCTTGAAGCACGGTGGGAGCGTCCGGACACCCTAGGTGACCCCCGCGTTCTCCGCATAGGGATTACCGGTGCCAAGGCTTCTCGCTATATGAACTGGATGGGAGCGGCACTAGGTGCACCCCTAGGTGCGCGGCTTGATTGGCTGGAGCACACTAAAGAAGTCATGCCCCAGCGACTGCATCAGGTGCTCATGCGTTTCCGGTTAGGCTCTTGAGAGTTAGAGGTTAATCGGCCTAATGGACGTGAGTGAACCGCGCGTACCTGCAGGCTTTGTGACTGTGGAGCGGTTGAAGACGAATTGCATGTTTTTGATGAATGCCCCGCTTACAAGAGCATACGAGCTAAGTATGATGGTGATCTAGCCTTTAAGGAGCGCAGCATGCGCACCATTATGACTGAGGCGCCACCCCTGGCATTGGCCAGGTACCCCTCGGAAATCTGGGGGCCAGGCACGTCGCGCCGAGGCGCTTCGCCCTGAAGCGAAGGAGGGAGGATGATGATGGCCTCCCCGCGTACCCGCATCAATTACCAATTAACGTCTATGGTCCCCCGGCTTTTACGGACACACCCGCACTTGCGTGTGGAACTTGTAATTTGTAACTTGTATAGTGTCTCCCACGTTGTCGTTGTCTTGCTCTCACACCAAAACCGCTCCATGCAGTAACAGGGCAACTCTCTCTACAGTTCTCACATTCTTGGTTGGTAAACCCACACCGTGAGCTGTGGCGAAGGCTCCAGTAGTTAATATTACCTCACCCTTTACTGCCCCGCTAACGACATGGACTCTGTTCTGAGGCGCTGGAGTCCCCATCTCTCGCCAACGTTTCCTAGTTGATGGCCCCTTGAGGCGCCCCGGTTGAGGTCTGGCTCAGCTACACTCTTCGCAGCATTAGAACCGTCAAGAAACATTTTATGTCTTTCTGCAATATCCCGTAGACACACACACACACACACACACACACACACACACACAAACACACACAGGGAGCGGAAATAGGGAGTAATCCGGGTCAAATGATCAAATGACGCCAAGAAAAAAACGGAAACAGATGAAAAGAGGGTGTACAACCCGGAGTAGCTGGAGAGGGGAAACCTCAACAACCGCACACATCACACCACAACACTGCACCACTGCTGCACGTGACCAGGACAGGAAGAGAACAACAGCCCAACCAAACGAAACATGACCCCCCGCGCCGTCTAGACAGTCGCCTAGACACACTGAGTAGGGTGGCATACATTTATGAGGAAAAGGAAGAGCCCAAATGCGTATCTATTTATATCTGTGGGTGGCATGGTCGCGAACGAGAAACCTAAACCTCTGACCTGCTGGAAATATCTAAACCACATGTGCTGCTGCTGCTGCTGCTGCTTCCTCACACGGCATGACGCAAGATAGGAGGATCGCCCCTGAACGCCTCGAAACGCTTTACCTTGCAGCAAAACCATCAGCCTTTGCACCATAAAACAAAATGGTGTATTCGTCCAGTAAGCCAGCCAGGCCAGGCCCATTCTTCAGCTGCAGGTCCCCAGCCCCACCCCCAGCCCCACTCCACCCCCACCCCGGTGGGGTCCAGCCATGCTGCACAGCGGATTTTACCTCCTTCCACCTCCCTATCTTCCACCTCCTCCACCTCCGCCATAACCCTTAGCACCATGCAACATAATGCACCGCCTTCAGGCGTGGTCACACAGCCCAGAGGCCTTTTCCAAGCAAAGCAAACCAGGGGTTATTCCAGCCAGCCGACCCAGGGGTCATCCTATGGGAATCGACCCAAGGGACAAATCCAGCCAGCCGACCCAGGGGTCACTACAGCATATCAACTGACCCAGGGGTCATCCCCGAGTCCCTTCACGACCCTCACCTAACCTAATAAAACCTGAGGCTCGTTCGTTCGTGCTTCACTCTCATGCGTATACCTCAGCCTTCACTGGGGGTAAACCCCGTCAACACACCACCACACCCTTTGTGAGTCTGAAGCCCACTGTAACCACCACACACACCACACCCTTAGGGGAGCCCATCCCCTAAAAGGGGAACAAAGGGTTACCAACCCCGATCGCGGCCCCCAACACCTAGCAAATTAACAACTCTCGACCTCCTCAACCCCGACGGAGGTCAAGCAGCTGCTGCGACAGCGGGTGGTACCGCACCACTCCATCCGCACCACAGCTGAGCACACCCGAGCAGTCAGGCATGCAACACAGCCCCCCCACAGCCGCGCCCGAGGTGCCCGCGGGCCGGGTACGACGTACTGTAGACCGGTCCACGAGTCGCGCACCGCTGCCCCCCCCGCCGCCGCCAGCAGAGGCGGCTGCCGCCGCCAGCAGCCCCGGCAGCCCGGTACGTGTCGTGTAATGGGCTTTCTCCAGGAAGGAAACCACCTTGACGGGTAGGGAAAGCGGGATGATGAAAGTGTGCTGTGAGCGTGTGTGTGGGTGTGTGGGTGTGGGAGGTGTGTGGGTGTGTGGGTGTGTGGGTGTGTGGGTGTGGGAGGTGTGGGTGTGGGAGGTGTGGGAAGGTGGGGGTGAAGGTGCGGGATGGTGCGCGGCTGATGGTGATGGTGGGTGAAAGTGGGGTTCGGGGCGATGGTCAGTGGAGGCCCCCCTTCACACGGGATGTGTGTGTATGTGTGTGTTTTGCGGGAGCATGCGTGTTTTACTGGTCTGGTCTGAGAGCTGTGGGGGTTGGTGGCACCTGGGGAACTTATCAGGGAGGCAAGGGGGGAAGATGGCGCACAGGCGATTATTAACTCAGCCAAAGGCCGTCCTATGTGGATGTTGTTGTTGTTGCTGTCGTTGTTACAGAGTGGAAGGCTTCTGGGCCAATTGAACACATTGCGGATGTGTGTATAGGAGGGTGTATGAAAAGAGGCAGGGAATGCATGTTTGTAGTTAGAAGGTATCGCGCCGGCGGCCCCTAAAACCCTAAAACCCCTTCCACACACGCACACACACCGACCCCCCAAGCACACCCACCCACCCTGAGGCCCCCGAAGTAACCCCCCGTACCCTTCCAGAGCTGATATCCACCAGCGCCAAACTGCCGTCCCTGCCGCCCGTCACCAACAAGTTACTCATTCGAGCCTGAGTCGGTCCGCCGTGAGAAAAATGATGCTGAGCATGCTGAGGATTAGGCAACACTGAGGAGCGGGATCCGGGACCAGATCCAGATCCAAAACCCGGAACTGCCAAAGGGGACCCCTGCTGCGGCAGGTTTAGTATTCCCGGCGCGGCCGGGCCCCACTGAGCCAGTGCGGTGATGGGTCCAGAGTGGACTCGAGGGAGGGTCCAAATGAACTCCCGGGCCGACATCATTCGGAGGTCTGTGGCCACCAGCTCCCCTGGTGGTGGTCGACCGGGTGCGGGTGCGGGTGCGGGCGGGAAATGGAGGATTTATTGTGTTAATAATGCTGGGTCGTTTAAGGTTCTAGGGCTGTTTAAGGTTTTAGGGTTTATAAGGTTTTGTTTCGTGATGTTTTCTTCGCACTCATGCCTTCACTCTCCCGCCCCATCCACCATTATTACCATTTATTATTATCATTATTATTATTATTATTATTATCATTATTTATTATTTTTATTATCATTATTTATTATTTTTATTATTATTATTATTTACCTGACTCGTCTCCAAACACGAGCACACCGCCAGCGTCCGGCCTGAGCAGCGCCAGCACTCCGGGCACCGCCTTCCTCCCGCGGATCTCAGCCACACACGCCGCGGCGGGTGCCACCAGGGTATCCCACCAGCCCACCAGCCCCCCGCGGTCTCCCTGACCCGCAACCAACAGCTGGCTGCTGCTGTCGCCCACAAAGGTAATGGCGCGTCCATGGCGACCAACACACTGCCATGAGTGGGAAGAGTACAAAAGGGGAAAAGACGAGTGAAGCCACGAACGAGTGAAGCTGGTACAAGTTCAGGATGTACGAGGTACAAGTTCAGGATGGCCATAAATGGCTTATGTACGGACGGCAGGCATGCGGCGACTTCACACATACACATACACCAACGCCTGGACTTCCCCCGACCACCACCACCGCCAACAAACACACATACAAACAAAAAAACAAGTGCACACATTCTTGCTCCCCGAGGCCTTGGCGGCGTTCATTTCACAGCGGCGCGATCGTACACTGAGATCACCTAACGTCTCTCCCTCCCTCCACCGTAACCTGCTCGCGGGTTGTCCCCCTTGCCCAACCGAAAATTCCTTTCCTCCCCCCTCCCTCCTCCCCCCTCCCCCCTCCCTACGGAGCAAGCAATTCGAAACTGGGCGACACCAGCATCAGGTCCGTCAGTCAGTACACGCTCCAACCGCCCCCGGCCCCAACATCTCTCACGTGGTACGTCCAGTCCGCGTAACCCAGACCGCCCAATCCAAACACATCCGTACGAAACGTCGCCACAAGGCCCCCCTCGCCGATGGCCGCGAAACGATCCCCGCTCGGGGTGCTGTACGACAAC